AGGGAATAATAGGCTCACGCCGAACACACATAACTTAATTTAACAAAATTTTAAGATATTTAAAATTTAAAGATTCAATCCACAAAATTTCATGATGATAAAATGAAGCTGGAATAAGTAACAAAAAATAAACCAAAAAAGGGTTTAACTTGTAAAAAGCATTAGCAGAAATTAATTTGTTGAAAAATTTATGATAAATTATTGTTATATAAAACTAGGGGACCCAAACCCGTAAGTGTACATATTCAGAAGCACAATTTTCGTTTTGGCATGCCCAATATACTGTAGCCCAAACATCAGCCCATACATTGCTAGGTTTATCGTTATGATTAATTGTCCATAAGGAATTGTATGTGGTACTCTGCTCATTAACCCATAAAGGTTCGTAAAAAAAATATTCACGGTCGCCATTATCATCCTTAAATTCCAACTTGCCGATTGCTTGTGGGTTCTTCGGAGCACTAACCGTAAGATTTAAATATGTATATCGATTATCAATATGGAGACAATGTTCTGGTTCTCCATTCAGTGGTTTATCAAATTCTACCCAAGAGGCAGATATAATTTGAGCACCACAAGCTATGAAAAGAAAAGTATTAAATTTTCAAGATTTTATGAACAATAATAAATAAAGATTTGTCTTAAAATAACATACCACCGAATTCATTATTACAACCTTTGTCCTTAGGCCAATCAAGAGCAGCATAAGGTCCATCACAAAAAATTTCCGCCTCAACATACATAACGAATAAAAATACAAGCAAAGTAAATGAAACAATATATTTCGGATTCATGATTGTTATGTTCAAATTTCTATGTGCTATGAATTTATTATGTTTATTATTATTATGATTGTTAAAATTATATTTAACTTTCCGTGTGTTTATATATATTTTTTACTGAAGAAAATCTTTTCTTGTATTAACCATTTTCGTAATTTCGAACTAATACAAGATATTCGCAATTGTCGGGTAAATTTTCAAGGTTAGTACTAACGTTCGTACTAACGTTAGTACTAAAGTTAACACTAAAGTTCGTACTAACATTAATACTGAAGTTCGTACTAACGTTAATACAAACGTTCGAACTAACGTTAATACCAACAGCGTAAAAGGGTAGATCGTTGTTTGTAATTGATTTATCATGAACGGAGTGATGAATATCACGGAGAGCTTTTTTTTTGAATCAATTCTATTTGCATTTTTAATTAAAATTTTCAGTTAGATAATTAAGCTTTTTTTTTTTTAATCGATTACTAATATTAATATCACTTTATATATTATATAATATAGAACAAAAATTATATATCGCACCAGTGGTGTTCAACACCATATATATGTAGATCAAAATAATTTTATCAAAATGAAAATGAAAATTTATTAATGTTAGGATTAGGATTTAGGCCTGAGATGGAGCAGGGCATAGTTTATACCAGAATTTTGCAAGGAATTTTTTTTGTTAGAGCCCCAAAGATAATTTCATAAATGAAATTTTGAGTTATAAAGTATAGTGGTATTGAACACCAGTGGTGTGATTTAACAATGCCGTCATATTTATATTTAATATAGCACATAATTTAATCACATTAGATATCACAAAATGAGCACAATCGCCAATATGAATTTAAGGAAATAAGATTTTCGTGATTGGCGATTAGTGTTCCGAGTTGGTAAATATTTTACCAATCGATTAGTTGCCAACTATAGTTGCAACTAATCGATTGTTCACATCACGTGGCATCATCAGATGATTAGCCAATCAAACCAAAGGAATTAATTCGGATCTGCCCGACTAGACGGAATTTCTCGGAATTGTACTAGCTGAATGATTAATCGATTAGTTGTTTAAAATTTTTTCAAATCGACTAGTTGAAAAGTTGGAAACTAGTTGATTTTTCAACTAACGATTTGCCGATCACAGTAATTTGAAAAGCACGATAATATGGACCCCATATACAAATAATTTTTTTTAAGTTACATATAATTAGGTCTACGATAATAACGTAAATCCCGGGTCCATTCTAGGAATGTCTTTTCTAGTTTCATATTGATAGTAATCTCTGGCATAAAGATAAATCATTCCATTAGTAATCCCATTTTTGACCGATTTTTATCAATTGAAATTTTTATTTCGGGAAGATATCATTAAAACATACTAATTTTCAAATGTTAAAATGGACAACGGATTAGTACATAGTTACAAGTCATTCTTGTATCTGATAAGTTACCGATAGGTTTAAACTCAACATAGTTTTATAATGCATTATGATTTAACTTTTTGAGAGTTAATTAAAGAACTTGAACAAGCAAAATGCCTTTCAAGATAGCTATTTATTTTCAAATGAGTGACATATTTTATTTCCAATAAATTTGAAATGATAATTTTTGTCATTGAAAAGTTTATTTATTTCGCTAAATGGAAGTCTTCTAACAAACCCATTTCATTTTCCGATTTCAGAATTTTAAAATACTGTATATAGAAAATACTTCTATATTAGTCACACCTCTTTATAATCACGGTTTTTTGTATCCCGAAGGTGTGACTATAGAGAGGGTTGACTGTAATTGGTAAAAATAAATTAGTAATTATACCAATTTGTGACTATAAAGGAGGTGACTATAGAGGGGGTTGACTGTACTGTGCAATTAAGATTTTTTATGTTCCACTTATTTCTGAAATACGAATATACTGTTGGCCCTCTCAAAACCGGTATGCATGGTGGACGGGTTCTGTATTGGTTTTGGGAGGTTATTGGATTTGAAAAAATCACATAATAAATGGTCGGAAATCAGCCAATCAAATTGCAGAATTGGTATATAAAAAAAATTTTATCGAATTTGATCAGAAAAACTTCGCTCAAAGTTTTAAAAATTCAACAATACTTAAATTATTAAGCTATACAAAGATGATTTTTTCGTTTTGCATTAAATGACATTCGAAATTTCGATCAGGGGTCGGATTTTTGTTTTTATTAATCTATGTAGCAAAGTCTTTAATTTCTAAGGCTTTCTTGAAAAAGCATTTTACTTGTTCAGATGATTTAAGTTCATTAACTTTTAAATTAGTTAAATCATAAGGCATTATAAAACTATATTGAATTTAGCCCTATCGGTAACTTTCAAAATATAAGAATGTGGCTATGTACTAATCTGTTATTCATTTAGCACTACTTAATTTTGTTGGTTTGTTTTTTCCTTATATGGCTTGTAGTACATCGATATTTTTGTTAGCACTACTTAATTTTGTTGGTTTGTTTTTTCCTTATATGGCTTGTAGTACATCGATATTTTTGGTTGTTCTTGT